ACTTCCATTATCTCTCTGCGTTCTTCTGATCCAACCTCAACCTCACGCTTCATCCTTCGTGTGTCAGGCGATTCGGCATCCGAAGCTCGCGGTGTTGCTGATGTCGGGATTGCGCTAAGTGCCAAGGCTGAGCGCTCGCTTCTTGATTAGATTCTAATCAGTAACCAGAAAATTTCTCGACTAATCGTAATTGCGTTTCATTCATTCATTTAGTGGTTTACCTAGGCACAATCTTTCTGACTCTAAAAGTTAGTACTATGATCAGTAATCAGATTTTCCCGCTGTTTATCGAGCCCTTCACCGCAGCTGTCTGGAATCGATCCCTTAAAAAAGTTGATCTCCACTGTCAAAATAAAGCACTTTTCTGACCGTCTTTCATCGCGTTTCTAGCGTTTTACTGAGTTAGTCATGGACAAGGGATTTCACTCGATTGATATCCTGGGCGTGAAGTTGTGAGGGTATAACAACGCGGTTCTGGATGAGCTCTACCGCCTCGTGATACCCGATCTACGTATGCCAGAAATAAGCCAAGTCAGTGTTTTCAACATGCGTCCCGGACAAGTAACAGAAAGCGGTCGCTATACTGTGTGTCAGACGCATTTTGGTGGCTGACTTTTATGAGAACTTCGGCATTGAAGACTCGTTCACTGAATGACAAGGTGACGGGTTGTGGTGCCCCAGTGGTTACGTCATCAAGTTATCACCCCGTAGGACGTGTGCTTGAATCCCACCACTACCGTTTGGCTTTCCTCATTGTGTTTGTGTTGTATGGCAGCCTTCAAATTGGCCGCTTCGCTCTTCCTGAAAATTGTATCATTGTGTATTCAATCAGTGGAAGTAAAAAAGACAAAACGTTTCGCAAACCACTCCTTTCAATGCAGCGCTGCTTCGAACACTGTTGAAGGCCTAACCTTACCGCTTCTTCAGGTGGATGCTACAAGCTGCGTGGTGGAACAAACGAGATGTTTAGCGACAGAAAATAGGTAGTTTCATCTACTTGTAGCCCACTTTTCAATTTCCGACCCATTCGATGTGGTAAGTAGAACACACCTGCTTATCATACGAGACGATCGATGGAATAACAATTCAGCCCAGCATGTGCGGCGTTGTTACTGAGGTCACACTTAGCCACTTCGTGTGTGTTCATTTTTATTTGGGTCTTCCACATTGCTTAGGTTTGAAGCAGGATTTGCGAAACTAACAGTCTGATCAAATTGCGACGTCCGTAAAACCCTTTTCTGAAGCTGTATACTGTTTTTTTATCAGGTGACTTCATAAAATACTTTTTTACTTGTACCCTTTTGTTTTCATATTCTTTTTCAGACCACGCGTGAGGATTCAGAAGCCATGCTGAACTGCTTAACCTAAATGCATTTAATTATTCTTGAGTGGATTCCTTGGAAATTGCCCTACGTGACTTTGCATATGCGTGTGTTCTTGCGGTTTCCACGATGGCATTCAGTTTGAGAACATCAATCTGGACCGTCCACGCATGGTTTATCGTCCACAATGATGTGGCGTGTATTGTAAACCGCAGCCCCCAGTTCTTATCAACTGTCTCGACTGGATCTGTCAAATTCCATGTCCGCCCCGGTGGCCCTTCGGAAAACTCCTCATACACCGCCCTTGAACGAATACACTTCTCCCCGTCGATCTTCGTGTTGTTTCTTGCGTTGTCTTTTTCCACCATCCCAATGTGCCTGCATCTTCTTCTTTTAGTCCCTTCTTCCAACTAACTTGCGATCATGATGGGTTCTGTCCGATCGTTGTGCAAGTGAATACAATTCTCCCTGACATCGTGATTGCATTAGTCACGCACTGGTTAACACACATCTTTTTCTTTTCGCATCACATTCAAACCTGACTTGCCTTTCGTTCACAACACGCTGTCGCTCATACCTCTCTACCGATGTCACTGTGCCTCACCACACATGACTGATTCCGTCAGCTGAGGTCTGTGACCAGTGCTACAACTACTGCACCACGCGTTGTGCCACGAGTTCTCTACCAACCGGAAGATTGTAGTTCACTGTTGTCCCGAACTCATCCCTATTTGACCCGAACTATTTTGGTTCTGGTCCACTCTGCCAAGAGCACATGTTTGCACTCGTTGATTGTGCTGTCATTTATCAATGAATAAGGGGGCGGGGTGGGGCGCAGTCAAATGCAGTGCAAGACCTACCGGTCTGTATGATGCATTGTTAGTATTGTGAAAGTTCCTAATTGTCACTCTCAATGTTGATTCTTGTTTTGTGGGTCGATGAGAAATGGAATCAAAAAAATCTTTCTCGACGAACATTTGACCCCACCTTTGGCGTTCCCACTGATCCGTGAGCTGTCGAGTACACACTGTTGCAGATCGGCCAATCTTGCCGTGGTGTTTAGAGACATGAACCGTTGTCTGTGCCACACTGTACGAGTCTGGCAGGGCGACCGGACAAGTAATGCAAATGATTCCCCGAGTAGTATTATTTTAGCGCAGTCATACATTTATTCAAATGCTTGCCCATCACGGATTGCTGTGGTCTGGATATGTACTTTTCGGATAGATTGGCCCAACCTTAGATGTTTGACGATGCAATCAGCGGTTCGAGAAGTGTGGTGATCATACCATACAAATCATAGGTGGGTATCGAATGCTTTCATGCTAGTAGATTTGTTTATGTAGCTTGTGTTGTACTCCTGTGAAATACCCTACATGAACTTAATCGCTTCAAAAGCAGTTAATGCTGCGTGCAGGAGTCCGTATTCTTTATTCATCTTGTTTTTTATCACTCGTCCTACTAGCCCTCGGCCTTTCGTTCAATTTTGAACTTTATTCCACGGATTCATCTAGTGAACTTCATGACCAGTGGTTGTATCAACTAGAAGTGATCATATCATGACGAAAGCAACTCTGGTGGATAGTTGAACTGTCTCCGGTTTCAATCGTTATTCAATGATAGTAGTTGCAGTAGTGCATGTAGAAAGATGAAAGGCTGATCGATTCAAATGAACGTCGCCGGGTGTATTGATAATGAAGTAGTGCCGAGTAATTCAGGATGCACGATAACTGAATAGCCGTTTCCAGTCATTGACACCATTCAGAACCTTTTATTTGTCATTGCCCATTGGTCAAAATTCTACACCTTGTGATCAAGTCAAAGACAAACTGCCCTCCTTATATAACTATCAGTGTCAATGAATACTACCCATTGCGGATGCCTCTGTCTGTCCGTGATTAATTTTAAAGATGTTCATGGTAAAAGATTGCGCACTACACCAGTCAACGTGACCAGCAAAACTGAACTACCTTGTCAATTGTCTTCAACATCGCGGACGATTGTAATTCGGTTGTTGCTTGACTCAACACTTAGATCGAACCGATTCTAAATAGTCTCATCGATTTCATGTTTCGTGTGACTAGGTCATGTGCCTTTCATAGAAGCTCTCTTCTGTCCCCTCGCGTGCGTTCCTTACTCGGTTTTACTTCATTGTTTTCCTTAATTCAATCGTTTCCTCTACTAATTACTCGAACAAACTGTCGAAACACAACCATCCCTCACTGGAACCATTGAGGTGCAAGTCTAATAGTTGTGACCTCAAATTTGACTATTTCGTTGCTAGCCCATATTGTGTCAGCTCACGCTGTGAAGAATGGGTATCTTTTCATTCCCTACTTGGGGACCGAAAATGTTGAGGACAGCAGCACAGCATATTGTTGGTCGTTTTATTGAGTAGCACTTCATGTACCATCAGTTTCGGCTGTAGTAGTAGTTCACTCCCTAAAAGATACATTGCCAATTTCAATTCATGATCATGCCTATTTTTGCGCAAATTGAAGGTGTATGTATGCGGTATATTCAATGAATACCTAAAAAGCAATCAGAGACTGAGGTAATCGGGTGTTGTATGCACTTTGTTCACAAAAGAGACGAGTCTGTTCTTACTGGTGATTTAATGTTTGCAGCTGATGGCTTTGTCTCCCTTTGATGCGAATTACCGGCAGGAGGTGAATGATTGCATTGCGCGTAATGAAAACTAGATTCGTTCGATCACAACTCAAAAACATTTGGCTTCTTCGTCGAGTGACAGCAGTGAAATACGCCAGTCCAAGGTGTTCTGCTTTACATTTGTTATGCATGGTCTTTCCCCTTTCGTATTGGATTGTCACAGTCTAGCAGGTGTTACCCGTGCCCGGTGACTAAATCTTAGCAATGACCATTGGGCACTGAGTATATGTAGTCATCATCTGATCGAACTAATTATACTACAGCGCCTCTGGTTGCCTGTACACTCCATTGACCGTTGTGTGCGATTTATCGGCATATTGGAAGGAGCATCTGTGAAGACTATCCTCAGTCACAATGCACTACTCGCATCCGGACATTTTGCCATTTTGTTGTTCCGGTATTAGTTGCATGTGAAGCGTATCCATGTTTTGGTTGCTCTCCATTGATTTCGGAAAATACACTTATCACCGAGCTGACCAATGAGGACATGTTCAATATCCACTTTGTTGGTTGACCGTTGTTTCAATAAAACTTGCTTATTCTGTGGTTTCTCATTACCACAAACTAGCTCCGTATCATTACTTGTGCGTTTTGTTTTGCACTTCAGAAGTAGTATTCGCTTGAGTTTTACGTTTGCGTAGATTTTATATTTAATGATAATTTACTTCGGTTCTCGCCAAAACGCCTCGGGTTAAATAGGCCTGCGCTAACCCATCTTTGTTGTCACTTCAAAATGTTACGCTTTGAAGTATCATTTATTTAGTATGTATAGAAAAAGTTAATTCCATTCAAAGTGTCTTTGTTAACTTCTGCTTATGGTCGATCAAACATGATTTCGATCGGTGATATATAAAACATTGTTTTCGTAAATGTGTTGCATGAACCACTTTGAAGGTCTCGATTTTTCTTTATTCACTTTGGTCAAAAAGACGAATTGACTAAGCACAAGATATGTACAAACATCACGTTACACCAAAACAGGGAAACGATCATCCCTGAATGTTTTGACTAACTACACTTCCACACAATTATGGCCAAATTCCCTCCACATAGCATGTAAAGCAGATTGGTCAGGTCGTAGGTGATCTCAAATCCGTATCCTTCACCGACAGCCACATGCCAAGCCGCCCCGAATTTCTTGTCCATTGCTTCTTTCACGAATCGGGCGGCGGCCTGAAATGTTACAAATATATACAGGTTATTATTTAGCCAATCATTTTTTTAATTCAATCGTCAACTTGCAATTAGGTATGTTTTGGGAAATTTACTGGTCACCGGCATATTGCCCGTAACCTAAATAAAACAAAATTGTAAAAAGATTATACCTGATGACTAAAATTGATCAAGCTCAAATCCGGTCGACGCGATCAAATTAACAAACTACCATTATGGATTTGTTGAATTTAGGATCGCGGAGTTCAGCAAGTAGTAAATGTATGAGAGTCGTGATAGCGAGCAAATCGTAACCAATTGAAGTATCTTGTTTGTTGAGAAAGTTTGCAGAAATCAGATGGATTCAGCTCAGCGGCTCTCAGAATTTAACTTCCTGATGGTTAATTTAGAGAAACATTTCTTGTATGTCGGCTGCCACTACCACTGCTCCTAGCCTGAATCGGTTGAGCACTTCAATCGAGGGAGTGGTCCAGTCCGGACCCTGCAACAGACAATCGTCAAGGTAGAGACCGCCGTATCGCGCCGCACAGTTAAATACTACGCATATCTTCCCTGGCTTTCTGGGGGTTGTTACCGAGTGGTGTGGCAAGTTCCACAGTGTTTGCCCGCGTGGTTATGAAACGTCCAATGGTTCTATTTATCCCAGTTGCACGTTACGTTGCATTGCTGCGGCGTATTGTTGACAGAGCTCTGTGTCCCGGATCAGTCGCCTTTTAGTATACTCTAACCTTCTTAGGACTATCCCGTGGTTGTTCGACAAACGGTCGTATCCTGTCCTCCATGGCAACGGCACCTCGAATCTGTCGGATTGCATCGCGTCCCCGTTTTGACTATTGCTAACATCTGGTTGTCTTCTATGGAAGGGCCTCATTTCTGGTCGTTCAAGTCGTCGAACTCACTATGGTATATCCTTTGAAGAGCTTTTTTGATCGTATCGTTGCCAGTGGTAGTGGTGGTGAAGTTAACTAACAACGGTCTACGGTTTATCGCATGTGGCGGTCCAAACAACGTCCACCCGAAAATGGTGCGAGCAGCATATGGTTCTTTCCTGCTGCCCAGTCTCTGATTCAGGTCCGAGTGTGCTTCTGGCACATCGCATCCCATTAGAAAATCGACTTAGGGAGAGTCGGATTTTTCGAAATACAAATCTCGGTGTGACCAGCGCGTTGCTGATTCCCCGATAGACTCCACTGTTCGCATCGGCAAGTCGGCGATGGCGAAACCTTCCGTCATCTCTAGTCGGTCACCATTATCTAGCGAAACGAACGTCACGCTTGCTTGGTCGGCGGAAGTCATCTTGGTACCGTTCACCGAGCTGATAGTCAGGGAATATGGTATAGTCGTGATGTTGTTTTTNTGAATGAACTCCATCGCCTTCACCACCCCAATGGGAGTTAATATGCCCACTGGTGTTACCCCGAGACGTAGCTGCTTGTCCGCCGATTGAGAAAGTAGAAATATCTTTGGTTTTTGGGGCACCGATAACTGAGTTTCTCTTATAGAGTGCGATAGCGTATGGTGGCTTGCTTGATATCCATTTTCGCTGCATCTGCCACGGTTCTTACAGGCGGCCGCACGATTTGAGCTGTTCAAACAGATAAAGCACGCACCATGCCTCTTGGCTGCTTCCCAACGGTCCAGAATTTCTAGTTACACAAATTTCTCACACGCGGATAACTCGTGCTTCAAACGACACCTAGGGCAACTCGGTGTTCCACGTCCCCCTACGGTTGCGTAGTTGTTTGCTTTTCTAGAACTTCTGGGAATCTCGTAGGTTCGTTCCTTGGAGTAGTGCCTTTCTTCTTGCCTACACATGCTGGCGAGGTGTCCGAAGCGACTGCTAGCGACCTTGGCACGGTTTCAGCCAAATTCCGTCAGCTCGGAGAAATTCGGTTCCGTCTCTAAACGGTCGATAATCACCGCCTCCTTCGCCCATCGCTGTTGTATGTCAGCCGGCAGTCATTCTATTGTTGCTTCTAGGATGCGTAGGGCATTCAAATCTGCTTCTTTATTCATTCAAGTGTGGGCAATGAAACAGTTTTGCATCTTCATTACCAGTCACACCAACAATTCGGGTTCGTTTCTGATAGTTAAACATTGTACTTGTATTAGAAAATCTCGTTAAATTCCAGTGACTTTATCCCTGGTTTTAAGAGAAGGAGGAGGAGCGTGCTATTGGTTATGTGCATGTTAGAGATAAAATAATACTGAAAATGCACATTTTACAACTTACTTCATTATCCGTCGTAAATTTTTCACAGGCAGTCACACACAGTTCCAGCACTTCTGTCCGCATATCCTCCTGCATATCGCTGTGCTGGAATGAGAAAGATGGTCTACTGATACGAAATTCTATGGAATTTGAAAACCTTGGGCTCCTGATCTCCGAACTGAACACCTCGCCTTAGCCAAAACTAGCGTTTTATGAGATATCTCGATTGTTCCTAAACAAAAATTCATTTATATAGTAGTTCAAATATTTGACAAGATGTATTGTATTGTGTATAACTTTTGTGAGCACTGAAGCTTACCTTCCAGTTAGAAAGTATACACGCCAACCGTCCCAGAAAACATATTCTAAGAGTAAAAAATGTTTACAGACTTGGGAACGTATCATAATCCAAGGTTAAGAAAAAATCACTTGTTACCTTCTCTTTGTTTGTGAGTAAACGTGCAAGAGAGGGTGTAGTGAATAGTCTATGTTGGCTTTTTGTGACCGTCTTAGATGGCTCAATTGCTCATCGCGTCGGGGTGACTCTTAATGGTTTGGATCGAATTAGAGAGAATTTGATGAATGCACATCACTGGGGGCCTCAACCAGCAATAAGACTATTGATCAATGCTTAACAGCAATAAATAATCATTAAGTACACGTAAATAACTCCTTGTTTCACAAAGAGGTTAATCCGTTCAAAGTTCCTGGCGTTCGTATATCTCAATGTTCTGCAACATTAGTCCACTGAACTTCTCCATTTTCTATTCGATTCTACTTTCAATTTTCTTGTCCTTCTCCTACTGTTCATCCTAATGAGCAACCAAAGCCGGGCCCACAAAAATGCATGGTTAGTGTTTGTTCGAATTGAACTGAACTTCTTGGCTTCTAATTGCGCCAGTGCCGTTTCGCCCCACTAACAGACCCGATTGATTCAGATGGGTAAGATATTTGTGCATTGGCCAAATACGACTGTTCCCTGGTAGAATTCGCGAATGTCTTACTTGCATTAGTTAGATTCGACGAAAATGGAAAGCAAAACGATGAGTGCTACGGTATAGTTCACTACTCAGAGGTACTTAAGGGTAAAGCCTCGTGTATTCCCTAGTGATTATGAGTGCTTGGTAGTCCAACTACGTAGCACTACTGCAGGAGCCGAAGATAATTTGACGTAATTCCAAAGCATGCTGTCCAACGTAAAATAAGCTTTCACCTACACTAAGATTAGTCAAAAACTAATCAGTCATCACATCGCACCACCTTTGTGGGGAAACCTGACGAGAAATTCTGGGGTTACACGAAGAGTTTTAAGTACTCGCATGTCACCAGATGAGCTTCCTCGGCGTACGATATTTGCTGAGGCAATGAGTGGGTGGAAAAAGACAATGGTGATCAAACTAAGATCCCACATGGGGGTATGAAAACCCAAAGTAAGCAGTTAGTAGGTGGAGGGATTCCTACCGCCATACCAAACACCATATGTATACCGATTGGTCTTATTTTCATACAAGTTTATGGTCTGACCACTGTTGACTTCCATCCACTGCCCTACTCGAAAAACATCAAAAGTTCTAGCTGCTTCACCAGCTGAGTGCATAACTCATCTCAGTTATCGCAACCTCTAAAGGTCAGGCAAACGTATGTATACACGTCAGTGGCGTTTCTCTTGTATTCAACCAAAATTTTGTAGCACTTTGTGACAGCGGTGTTCTTTTTCGGACAGTCGAAACTTATCGCCGATGTTTATGTATTAAGTCTTATGATTAGATTCTCATTTCTCTGCTTCTTGTTATACCCAAAAAGATCCTTGAATCATGAACAGTCAAGCAATATTGCGTTGAATAGCCCCTCAGTAACTCTCCTGCAAAAACATCGTGAAGGAGGCTGTCGCCGAAACAGATAGTACAAACCATTCAAGAGGAATTTGCCAAAGGAATGGTAGTGTCTGTATTGAAAGCAATCCCAGATAGGCCCAGGAATTTGTATCGGCAAAGACATACAACATTTCTAAGATTTAAATAAACAGTTAGATGGCTCAGGTTGAGAGCTACAGCCTTAGCCATCTATCGGATGACCTGGTCAATGCAACTAAATAGGAATCCAAAAAGCAAATCTCAAACGGCCTTTATTAATGACACCACATTACTTCAAAATGGAAGCCACGACCAGCTTGGAAGCGGATACATGGAAAAGTTTGTGTGTCATTCTTGAAAAAAACATGTCTATGTTGTCATTGATTCTTGCTTTAAGTTAAAAGAATTTTTCTTGACCTATTTATCTCAGCGGTGTCCCTTGTTTAGGGAAGTTATTCAACAGCGGAGGAATTCCTCAAACGTTGTTGACCGATAATGGAGTTCTTTTTAATGGGGAATTATTATTTACGCAAACGCCTATTTACTCCTGCTCAGCACGTGCGTTCAAATGACCACGCAGATTAGCTTTTGAGAATACCAGCAGGTGACATCACTTCTACAGAGTGTTCATCAGTTCAAGTATTTCAGAAGTTTGNTGATGATTCCCTAGTTTATTATCTCATTGCCTATAACCCCCGCCTAACATGTAGGCAGCTACAAAAGTTCCAAATCCCTAAAAGCTTGGGCGTTCAACATATTGTTTTTACAGTCTGCTGAAGTAATGTGTTAAACCTAGAGTGACTTACGCCTATCATGTTGTATTATCGTAAAGTAATTGGCGTACGAACACATCAAATTCTTGATGTACATGATTTGTATGTATACAGCCATCAGGTGGCTCAACTACAAGGGAATCTTTTCCAACTTCCCTTTTTGTAACTGACGACAAACCATTAGATTGTAATCAATACTGTGCGGTGTACCTGTTGCACTCCAGTGCCCCGTAAAAAAAGAACAAATGAAACATCAAAATGTGCATGGTGAATCATTTGTTATACGTTGTAACTATTTAACCCTATTTCACTCTGTTCTGCATCCCAATCCTTCCACACCTGTTATTATGATTGTTGTGGCGTTGGCATTATACTTGCTAGCAAGTCGGTGATATATATTGCTCTGTACAATCCAATTGAAAGTTAAAGGTCCAGCTGTAAGCCGGAAAAGCTAAACAAAGCCTTTCATTCAAACTGTAAACAATCAGGCCAGGTCCCATGATTTGTGATGGCGCCAGGAACTTGAGTGCTCTAGAGGGTGCGATAATTGCAAATGATTTGATATTCATATCAACCCTTTTGGTCAACTTTTGAATACAATTTGTGCTCTGTTAATAAATCGTTTAGCTCTATGATTCCATCTGTTAGTTCTAGTATAGCTCTTCTCGTGCGGAGTTATTAACTTTGGGAATAAGTGTTGTACGATGGTAGCAGTATTAATAGTTCCTGTCATTAAGCTCCAGCTTTCCCAGTGTTTGAAGGACGTTTTCCGGAATAACTTAATCTCTAGGAGTGATCTCCATTAATGCACCCATTTCTTGATGTCATCTAGCTTCTATTTCTTTTTGACTCCACATATAAAAGCGCTTTGCTTTTGATAACGTTCCTTATCAACCATTCTGACGAGACAGTACTGGAGAGCTCAATTACAATGGGGAATGTCCGACGTCCCACAATAGGAGTTAATCGACACAACTCCAAGTGACTGACCTTTCTGAAGAAGTAACTGGGTTGCTCACTCGCAGGGGGTATATCGACACAAACCTTTGATGTTTTCCGATACAAGGGATACAGCTGTTGGAGCATTCAGTTTTAGTTTGCATAACCGTTGGTTGCTAACTTTGGCTACCAATTTCGATGAACAGTAGGAGGAATACAGGTAAGTTGAAAGTAGATTCAAAGAGGAAATAGAAAATTTTAGTAGATTAAGATTGCAAAGAAATTGAGCTGCCATGATGTCACTGTTTATGACACAGCCATTACAATCATCCCGAGGTCCCCATCAAAGGAGCTTAACGCGCCTTATATATAACAGTCTTCTGATTAGGGTTTTGATACCCTCGTGCTAGGTCCTACTTTAACCACCCTTGGCTTTCACCCACGCTCTGCTGCTACAACAAACGTGCCTTGGCAACCTAATTGGTATTTAAAAATTAATAGAAGCAATCGGAGCTCAGACTCGAACCTGAACGGTAACTCAGCTCTAGCGGTACTTTTCGGAACCTGACTTGACCTGGTATTTCGCACACCGTAACCTTCTGCTGCAGGGTCTTCAGCATTCGTTCTTATGTTGGTTGATGAATAAAAGGTGATAGGAGAAGGGAGTATCTGGATTTATTCCCCAGGTGGTTGATGCAGCTTGTTGTCCATCGGAGCTAACAGATTGTAGTGACCATGAAATTCTAGCCCAAAAATCAGGGCCAAGGCAACCCCTAAGTCTATGAGTTATAGTCTAGATTATCGATGGTCTTACTACCCTGCCCCCAAAAACGCCGTAATAACGCGCTGTATAGCGCGTTATGCAAGGCGTACTTTTGGGGCAAAATTTCGCCCAAATAATGTCGGGTTGCAACGGGGTTTTGCGCGTTTTCCTACGAGTCACACAAAATGACCCTTTTAGATCTACTTCAAATTCAGTCACTACACAAATTTTTATATTCTAGGGACCTGTTATTCTCATAACATACTCCCTTTTATCGAAAAGGCCGTTCAAATTTACCTCTGATTAAGGCGGGTTAACCCGCCTTCAGCTCACTAGTTAATTAGAATATATATTCCAACTGTGGCGATTCACATTGAGAAAAATAGAACTAAATTATAGAGCTAACCTTGATGAATGGATACGTATGTATCCGCTTGGGCTCTTCCCTTTTCGTTGCTTGTTCTTCCGCCATAGTTACTAATGATAACAACTGCAAGGTCGTAATCCTCTGAGTCAATAAAACTACACTCGGATCATGTTGCGGCCATGACTAATGGAGCATGCGGAATTACTTCGCTTGTATGCTCACTATGTGGGCATACAGCTCTGCTTAAATAAGAATGAGAAATAGCATCTCAGTTTTGTTCGGTTCTTGGACGTTCAGGTCAGGACCCGCGGATGCCTTGAAGTGATTCACGGGTTCGAGGCTATTGCCCAAATGTCCCAAGTCAGGTCAGGTTGCACAGGACTGGTAGTGTAGCGGTTCTT